CGGAATGATGATTCTTGGCGACGAAACGCGACGGTGCCGATGACTTTCGTGACTTCAGCCTTTCTGGCTGTCATGCGGCCATAATTATGCTAAGAGAACTGAATACTCTCTGAATGATTTAGCGGCGATCGAACGAATACGCGGGATAAACTGTCTCTATTACTGACATAGCATGTTATTATATTATCATGCTGCATTAATGTATCCATGCATATATTTGCATAATTTGATATGAATCTGTAATAGCTTCTGATCAAATTTAGCAATATACATACATAGGTGTTAACAAATAGTACTACTTGCAATGTTGTAGAATGTGCTGTATATTTGAGTAGCGTTTATTTTAAAAATTATGTGTTGTACAAATCTAATTTTTAAGCATTAGAAATTTTAACAAAACATTGAAGTCGATGGATGCAGTACCCTTCGTGGTATTCAAAGCATTAAAAATTTTCGTCTCGAAAATGCCTTAATTTATCAGTGATTATTTACGTGCATACGTTTACTATCCACATAAGCTATTCGGATGTCTTTTTCGTAGGAATTTATGAGAAGGTTAGTGTTAATAGTTCATACGGAATGTTCCTCCATCGTCTTTTCGGCCATTACCCTATGCCATTTCCCTTCGCGCATCTCTTATTATATATGGAGCCATGAAGAGTGTGTCCGGAAGCAAAATCGAAGAAAACGATATCACGCCGGGGTGGTATAATGCTTTCCGTGGCACAGCCTCCGGCGTCCTTTCTCACACTCTCTCTTTCTAACGGAACAGAACGTAGTGCAGCGCGTCGGAGCGCGCCGGATCCCGACTGACCTGTGGAAGAGTTGGAAAGAAAACTTGCCTCTAATTATCCTGTTGGGACCATATAGTAGCCGCGTGAGTGCACGCGTGCGCTGCGGTGCATATACGTGAGTGAGTGCGTGCATGCGTGCGTGCATGCGTGCGTGCGTGCGTGCGTGCATGCGTGTGTACGAGTAACGCTGCACTGATGCACGATCGAGAGGAGGACCGGACTTCAAGGAGAAGGGCGGCTCCGACGGCAACAGAATATATTATAGACTCGTTCCTTTCGACTTGCACCGCGACGGGCTGAAATCTCGCTCTGGGTTTCGTGTTAACTTAAGTGTCCCTGAAACGGACTTTGTGGGAGAGCGCGGCGTGCGTATGCCGCACGCACGCTATCGCCTCTTTTTCTAGTTGACCTCTTAACGATCAATCTGTTTTTTCTTTTTTTTTGTGTGTAGTTTGTCCGAAAATGGATTGTTACGATTTGTATTTTTGTACTGTAAAAATATATTCTTCGGGGTGAGCAAATAGTTACATTCGGAAACGCGTACATGTTGCAAAATTATAATAATGCATTGATTCTTATGCAGCAAATATATACGAAATTGCAGACTCTTTCAAATAGGATATCGAAATTAAAATTTTAGAAAATTGATTAATTACAATAAGACTATTTATTTTTTGTATTTTATTAGAATATAAAAATGCAAAAAAATTTGTTAAATGAGAGTTAATACATGTAAACAAAATCTGTAATTAATGAGAGACTTTAAGTGTTTTGAAATTTATATGTTTAAAAACTATGTTAAATCAAATTTGATAATAAAGAATTATATGTCGATCTTATGAAATAATGATATACAATATATATATATATATAGATATATATTCACAATGAGTTCCATCCTTGAACTTTAAATCCAATTTGAAAGAGTCTGAACTAGCAGGGCAACTACGAAGACTAGTTATTAGTTGTTTTTGGCAAGAATCCTCACCGGTCAAACGGATCTAATTTTAATTCGCCATTGAGGCAACTTGCCTTTTAACTTGTTGTACCGGTAAGACAGGCTCACGATCAGTTACCGTGTGCTCTCTTAAACTTCGATTATTGTTCCTCTTCATATTCTTAGTTCGTCGAGATAGATAAGTGAATAAGAGATGAGAGAATAAAGAGAATACACAGTTAAAGTTGCATAAAATCTGTCTTTTAATATATTAAATCTGAAATACTAAGAGATATTTAAAATGAGTATTAAAAAATTTAAGTGTATATGAAAAAGTTTCCGAAAAGAGTCAAAAATAATAATTCTAATATGACTCATTATTAATTTATACGGTTCGTAAGAACTCGTACGTCTATAATCAATATTTAAAGATATATTTGTATAGTAATTTAAATATTTTAATTTTTTTTATAATATACCATTTTTATGATTCGTAGTGATACTGCTAGATTGACGCGTTGAATTTGATAAGTCATTTGCAAATCTTTAATGCTAATTCAGTCGTTTTGCGGTTTTAAAAATCCTGAGATAGCTAAAAAGGTGTACGATGGGGAAATTACTGTTATTTTCGCGTATTATTTACTCAGGAAGACATAGGAACACTAACAAAAATAATCGAGACCAATTCTTTTCTGCGTTATGATATCATCAACTTCTTTGGTCAATACATGCAATTTCTGAAAGAATGCTAAGTTTTGGAAAATGTATGACAGGTGTTAAGTTCTCTTTTATAGCTGTTTCTCATTAATTAATCTGTATTAAGTGCAGGTGCAGAATTGAAATTTATTCATAAATTACCAATTTATAGCCAAATGACTAAAACAAAACATTTCTTGCACCTGCAGAATTGGATACAAGTAATTATACATAATTTACAGTGGAACGGGGCGTACTTAAGATAATAATACACGCACAATTTTGTCACGAATTCGAACAGCCGTTATAATCTTATCGCAGTAATAAGTATTTTATGAGACTTACTAAAATTGGAAATATTACGAAAACAAAAAAAATGCGCAATTATATAGTGCCTCTATACGTGTTTGTGATGGATTTTAATCATATTCTTTTCCGCAACTGTTCTTTCATTCTCTATTCTTTTACCATTTTTCAAATTAAATTAAAATTAAATTTTTCTAGAATTTTTTATTTCAAACAATTATAAATGTATTCTATAGTTAAATGTGTGTGTAGTGACTCTCCTTTATGAAAAGATATTCTAATTAAAAGTATATTTGAAAAATATATTTGATGCGAGACGTGTCTCCTGATAAAGGAAATCAAATAAGTATATAAGTAAATGAAAAATATATTTTAAATGTAATATATGGAATTGGAGTCAGGGTAGCTTGACAAATAACAATCCTGTAAAGTTATTCGTAACGTCATTCTTTATATTTAACAAATCGTTAAATCTTATTACAATGTTTTTTTTTATTTACAAGAAGATAATATTGATCGCGAAACATCGATCGATTCGCTCCGGGCGAGTACACAAGTTTGCTCGATTGTGTGTGATTCATCCATTTTTCTTTCATACATAAGTTACGGCGCATTGTACAAATTATTAGTGCTGTCAATAGTCAGGTTTATAGGCATTTTGAATGTTACTTAGGTACTTGCGTATTTATTCCAAAATAAATTTACTTCAAATGAATAACGACGAGATTATATCTCGATTTTATATCGTATACATACGTTTATATTTTAAGAAAGACAATCCATGAAAAGACACGTTCAATCAGAGAATAATATTATATTTTAACAAATATAAAAAAATGTATAGCATTACTCTCTGAACGTTTTTTTAAGATAGATAATGCTATTCAATCCCTAAAACGCATAAATAATCCATATAAACATATATAATCTTAATGTTATAATGTTATATCGCTTTTATTATTACCAATTTATATAGTTGGGACACATTAGATGAATATCTACACAGAGGAAAAAATAGGAACTGGTTAGCCACAGATGTCGAAGTTCTGTCCAAAAATAATGTAACTTAATATAATGTATCTGAATACACATGTAATTTCTTTGAATTTGAGTAATGGATAGGTACTTGGTACAGAGATTACTCGACTCATACTAACAGCACTGTAAATAACTATTACATAATAATATAACAACATAATTATAATTATAATAATGTAAATATAATAATATATATAAGTATGCAATGCAGTTATATAAAAAATAATTAAATATTTATGTACATGAGTAACGTTCGAAATACTCGAATATCTGAATACTGACAGCACTAACGCTTACGTTCGCTGACATAGCCAGTGATTCCATAGAATCGCTACAGATTTTATAGAATTACCGCTTGTGAATTAATCACTTTAACATATATATACATATATGTATAATTATTATTATTGTGTAATAATAATATAATGTAATACAATATATAATACAATATAATATATAAATGTAAATGTAATATATAATATAATATATATAAAATTAGTATATAATTATTTTTATGTACACAATAATAATCATAATTCCTGTCGACGGATCTCTTTTTAAAAACGATCTCAAATTATTATTAGTGAACTATTCATTGAAATATTTTGAATGAAAAAACTACACGATTTCGAGAGAAACATCTCATAGCGTAAATTTGTTCTATGAAGTTGCTTCCAATCATTAAATGAAATCATGTGACTTTTTATATAAGTCGACTTTTCAATTTTGTATGTAAGAATATTAAGCTAAAGTAAAAATGTATTCCATGTCAAATTTCGACATTTCTTCGGTGAAATTTTTGCGTTTTTCTCAAAACCATGCTACTTTTATTTTAAAAATATTTTTGTTACGCAATAAATAGTTAAAATATAATTTGAAGACGTTAAGATGAGTGAGTCATCCTGAATAAATAATTGTATAGATACGCCCCTTATCTTATATTTACTTTTGGATAGTGAAATATGAGAAAACGTTTTCGCCATAATAAATTACAAAATAGAAAGCTAACATAATTAGAAATTGCAATGCATTTATCATGTATTTTTGAAGTACTACTTCTAATTGTACATTTCAAAATTGTTCGTTATCAATATACGACATAATTTTAGAGACAATATATTTCCAAAGATCTTTCTCATTTATATAAAAGAGAATAACATATTTTACGTAGTTCAGACGACAAAGTGCAAAGTAATATGACTAGATTATAGTTAATGCAACAGCCGCTTTCTTCGTTTACCTTTATTTCTCTTGTTTGCATTGTTTTTGATTTTTGACCTACACGCGTGCCTTTGCATTTGGTCATTGCTGTAACAAAAAATGGAAGAGTTTCTATTAGATGTGCGTATTCAATATTATTAACATATGAGACAATGATTTTTATTTGAGTAAAGAAATTAAAAGAATATTTATAGAATTAGATGGCGCATATATATATATATATAGGCGCATATATATATACAATTTTATAAATATTCCTTCATTTTCTTGTTATATATACGCACATATATAATACATATATATTGTATACTTTGGACACGTTATACACAAAATTTTACGCGAATGATGCGATCCAAAGACGACATTCAATGCTTGCGCTTTCAGTATGATATCGATTCATCCGAATAGATCGCGAGTTTCTCGTTGGTAAAGGATGATAAAAAAGAAGCCCTGCAGGTATACGAGATGGAAGAAGCAGGGGATGATTTCAGGTAAGGGCAGTTTTACTGCAAAGGAGTCCTGCACGCTCTTCGTGGGCAAAAGCGAGAGAAAAAGTGGAAAGGAGTGAAGAAGAGAGAGAGAACGTACCGGTTCAAAAACCGACAAACGAGGGACGGGAATATCTTGAAAGATGCATTCAAGTTAAACGCGGCAAACGAAATCGTCCTCGTGAAAAAGAGAGGTGGAACGGGACGTGGATAAAGAAAGATGGGGGACAGGAGAAAAGTGAAAGATGAGGATAAGGGAAGATACACACATACACACATACACACACACACACACACACACACACACACACACACACACACATACACACACGCATATAGAATGTGACGAGAGATCCGAAAGTTACGTCCATCAAGATTAGAGCTAAACTCGAGCTTTGAAAGACAATCAAATTTCTTCTATATTCGCGATTTGTTGAGGTCTTTGAACTATTATTATACTCCTCTCTTATATATTTTTACTTCGAATTTGTTATATATTTAATAATTCTTATTAGAGCAATATTATAATCTTCAATGTGAGAAATTGAAACAATCTTTATGATATTTCATTTTTATTAAACGTTGAGCTTACTTTATACAATGTACATATCCAACCGAAAAAAGGTGGTCCCCGATGATCGGATCGAGCGACTTGGAAACGTCGCTGAAGGACGAGGGGCGGGGTGGAGTCGGGAAAAAAACGGTAGAAGAGGGACCGACACTCACGCACACATGTATGTGCATTAACGTACCGTGAAAGAAATCGCGGTACAAAAGCGTCGCTCCTCGAATGTATACGCGGTGCCCCTCTGAATGGAGTCTGCGATTTGAATGGTTTCAGCGAGGGTTCGTGCGCGCCATTGTAAGGGGGCAAGGTCACAAATTTACTCGGAAATTTCTTTAAGCTTCCCGGTAACGTAGCGAGATATTCCCCCGTGAACGGAATGTTTGTCAATTGGTGAGGGTGGTAAACACAAAAAAAGAATATTTTTTGAGAAATCATGATCGAATATCATTGTGTCAATGACATTTGTCAAAAATCAATTATTAATTCTTAGATTAATTGTTTTAAAGAAGATTGTGACGTTATCTGAAAAATTTTATCTAAAAACAACTTATTCAGAAAATTAAAAATGAAGATGATAAAAATATACTAATAAAAAATTGCAATAAAATTATGTTTGATATACAACATCACAAGATTCACAATCAACTGAGTCACAAAAATTTTTTTAGTAAGATGACATAAAACTAACATTCACAATTATGACACGCGATGCAACTCTGAGACCACAAGACCTTGCAACGTGAATGATCCGAAGTTATAACTACAAGAAAAAAACATCAGATCACGACACCAACCTTCAGAAGGATGTAGAGACCAGCGACATCGACATCCTCACTGACTTTGTTGCCACCAGGAGATGACATCTAGCAACTCTTCGTCCTCCGGGCTCATTGGCTCGTAATTATCGTAACTGTCAGAATGCGTCGCGTAAAGAGTGCCAGGTGTGCTGTAACCTTGACTTCCGGCTGACGAAGTTTCGGAGACGAAGCTTGGCGTTGGTGAACTCGACGTCTCCGAGCATGTTGTCGGGACAAAAGTCGTTGGACTTGGGTTCTGCCTAAGGTGTTGATGTCGGAGATCAGATCCATGTGGACTACCGTGATGACGGATCTCCCCGGTGATGCTACCTCGTAGTCTTAATTCCGCCGAATGATTAGAATCGGAACTCACTCCATTTTCAGAGTTGGAGGATGTTGAAGAAGTGGGCGAAGATCCGATGGACTCGGAGCCACCATCGTGTTCTTCTAGAAGACGTTGAAGACTCCTGATGTATTCCACTGCCATCCTCAAGGTCTCCACTTTAGATAATTTCTTACTGCCAGCTCTGGATCCTCCATGAGTACCAGCAGTACTACTTCCTAGTGCTTGTGCTACTGTCTGTGGTATATGTTGTCTCAAAGTGGCGAACCCGTTGTTCACCTGTTTTACCCTGTTGCGCTCACGCGCGTTTCGCCTAGCCACCGAGGCAGGCTGATGTGGTACCGTGCCATAAGGTCCAGTTGCTTGACCGTAGATCTTGGATCGCTTGCATCCGTGTTGTAGAGTACTGTTGTTGGTTGGCATACTGTTGGTGGAGACTATCACGTTGCCGCGATGGGTCTGCGCGCTCGAAGTGGCGTGAAGGCCATGGTGGTGATGTTGCTGCTGCACACTTAGCATGATGGGCAGAACGCTCTCCTCCTTGGACCCCACTAAGGTCATATCACGGATCCGAATCCCCCCACTACTCGGGAGCAGGAATTGTAGCAGCGCGTGCCAGGCGACCTTCGTGCGATGTACACTGCTCGACGTATCGAAGAGAAACTTCGTCGAGGAGAGGTCGATACTACTCGTTAACACCTCGTAGGAAGCGCGATTATAAAGAGTAAGAAAAACAGACGAAAGCGTGTATGGTTTACTCGACCGAAAAGAAAAGCGTGGGAAGAAAAATTAAACCGCACCCTCGATGCTCTCGGTACGATTCTGGCTCCCGAAATGCCTAGCCAATGAGGGTTCGGGGCCTTATATACCCCGGGTCGGGCACGCGCCTATCCCCACGCGCACTCGATCTCGGGTCCTAAACCCCCGTCTTCTCCCCTTCCCCCGTTTTACCGGCCCGCAGTGCCTCATACCCTTGTGATTCCCCACTACTACGGTCCCAAAGGCCCTACGCTGCCCGAGATTCTCATCTTCGGTCGTCCTTACTGGTACACCGTTACTATCCCGATCTGTTTACCGATTTGCTTTTCGGAGCACACCGCGTTATCAATATGATAGGACTTATCGTTGGCGTGTGCCGTCAAAGTAGTTGACAGATTGATAAGCAAATGCTAGAAAAAGATAAATTGAGAGATATGGCTTACAAACTCATTTTTTTATTATGTTTACGACTAGGCAATTAACTCTCGTATATATATATATATATATATATAATATTAACTATATTCTTCTATTTTCTTTTTATCCAAGTTCCTCTTTATATGGAAACAAAATTCATATGTTATGTGCAATAAAAACATGACTTGAAAATATATATGTTGCAAGAAATATAAATAATTTGCATTTTGATAGAGTTAAAATAATATTAGGAAAAGTTAAAGAAAGTATGAAAGGCAAGGGAAAGAATATTAAAAAATTTTGATACCATAGTTCATATCATTATTTTAAAGAACGTTTTTGCAACGTATTTGTTATCTACAAATAAGAATTAATTCGCAGGCTATGCAAAATTTGTTTATGAAGAAATTAATTTTCATTGAATAGTTCCAATACAATAAGGCCCAATATTCATATATCTAATTCTGTTTCGCGATCCTCATGTGAGAGACACTGGCGCACGCATACGAAGGGTCCACATCCCCACCGATCTCGTGGTGTCTCGGGAATCGAAATTTGAACAGTTACCGGGAGAAAGAAAAGCTGGTCCGAGGGCCCGGGCAAGTCGACTGAGGGAGATGGCGAGAAAGCGAAGTGTAGAACACATGACGAAGACAGAAGCCGTAGAAGAAGAAGAAGAAGAATGATGAGGAACAAGGAGTGGGAGGAGATGGAGAGGTCTGCGGCTGTAGCTGTAGAGAAGCTGTGCAGAAGACGAAGAGGTATCGGAGGAGGGTAAGGGAGCCCGGTGGCACGGAACATACGAGTACCCGAGACGACTGCAACAGTGGGGAGAGTAGCGGCAGAAGAGGATAGCGATGGGCACGACTGCGGCACGTGTTTTCGTCTTATATAGCACATAGTTTAAAAAGTGCATTGCAAAACACTGGAAAAAAATTAAGAATTCTTTGAAAATTTTAATAATCAATATATTGTTAATTGAATTGAAAATGTACATAAAAATTGAATTGAAATGTACATAAAAATAAGCTGCACTTCAATAATTTATCAGGAGAGAAAAGTCCAGTTTCTTCACAAAACATTAAGAACTGTGAAAGGGGTAACAGATAATGCATAGGGGTGCAAATGTAAATAGTACTAAGAAAATTTTTCTCATTTTTGGATATACTGAATCCGAAAGAAATGGAACCAATGATATCGCGCTCACTGCCGTCACTAGTAAAGAAGACATGTATGACGACAAAGGGGAAGGGGAAGAGACGCGAGCCGTCCTCCCTTCCTCACATTCGTGGCGCGCGCCTACTCCCATCCACCGGCTCTCCCTTCTTCCATTCGTCCGGTTTTATCCTCACCGAACGGAGCGTGCGTCTGCATGCGTGCATGCATACGTGTACGAGGGCGCACGCGTTCTTGCTCGGGCCTCGTGCTTAAGGGCGTTTGTGTGGGGGATGTGCGTGCGTGCATACACGCGTGAGGAGTCGCGTTTCTGTACGCATACGCGTTTGCGTGTGCGTGCTCGCGCGTGGAACAGGTATATGCTCTCCTCGTTTCTTTTTTTTTCTCCCTTTCGATTCTGGCGGTTCTTTCCGTCTCTCTTCGTCGATCTGTCTTTCTCCTTGTCGAAAAGGCGACGCGTGAGGGAGCGTTATAGGGCGGTAAGGTTTTCGCTGGACATTCCTACGTGAATAAATAAACGTCAGGCGGACGTTCGACGGTTTAGATAGATAATAGATGCGCGCTTTGAAACTTTTGATAAGGAAACGTACAGGAACGCAAAAGAAATAGCACGTCTCGAGAAGCATTGAAAATACGAATGTTTCAGAATGAGTAAATTGTTAACAAAAAGCTCACAAGATTTAATGTGCAATATAAATTTTACAACTCACTATTAATATAAATTTCACATCTTACTCTGTCTTTACTGAATTTGAATTAATTAATATCAACAAAAAAAAAATAATATTCTTTCATTTCTTTAGGATTGATGATACGAATGGCATTAGCATTATGTTTTTAAATATTAAATTATATGAATATTTATATATATATTTGTTACATATAATTGGCATAATAAATAATTGCTATGTATTTAACCTTTACAGGATAGAAAAGCCACTGTAATGGCGCTAAAACAGTGTCATATTTTGAGGTAAGAAATAAAATGAAAAAAAAGTTATAACAAATCTTAAGGAAAAGCTGTAAGATTTAAAAAATAGACTCCCATTCTCAAAACGTTAACTCTATGTATTTAATTATATATTATTATTTAATTATGTATTTGATTAATGAAACAAAAACTACAAATGTCATTTAATCTGAAAAAGAGAAAGGAATTCGAAAGCACCACTAAGCGTGATGTCAAAGAATTTGAGTGATCGCATATGTAAAGAATAGGGCGATGATTTTTTTGAGTAAGAAAGAGAGAGAGAGAAAGAGAACAAAAGTAAATTCGTGATAGCCTTAAACCTCTGAATTAGAATTTATTCCGTAATTATATTCCTTGGAGCCTTTCTCTCGATTCTCTCTTACCAAACACTTCGCCGCTAATTACTGTGGAATTAATTACCGTGTCGAGTGGCGAGATGAACGATGCCACGTTTGTGTTCTCCGAGTCAATCCTTGCAGTATGCGTCGATTCCAATGCAACAGCGCGTTGCAGGCGCCTCAGGCACGGCCTTAGATGTTAGATCGTTCGGATCATTGTCCCGCGCGATCATAGAGATTAGGGGGCTTTCTGATTGGTCGGATGAAGTATGGATCGTGGATGCACTATGCAGTTGTTACAATTTCTCTCAGCCCTTTTGTTCTCCATCATTTTCACGACGGAGGCGTTTAGAGCAGTTTAGTTCTATAATACGTTGTTGTAATAATATACCGGTGCTGATTTGTGTCGATTACACGTTACCATAAACAGTTTAACAAGTATCTAAGTATATAAATGATAATAATAGTTGTAGTTTGTTCCTATATTTTCAATATAGGAACTCTGATGTGAAATACTTTTTACGTGTCAGGTATATATGTATATATATATATATATATATATACACCCGATACAGGTACATATATTATATATACATATATATCTATTCGTTATTTTTGAATATTGTGAAATTAAATTACTTTTGTAAAACGCTGTGTATATATACGTCATGCATAAAGAGAATTTTTCTAGATCCCTAATTAACTGCATATGCTTTATAACAGCGACAAGGTCGATAATAATCGTTTTCGAAAAATTACGTTCATCAAGCAAAACGCATCGTCACAAAGATCATTTATAATAATAAAGACATCTAATAACGAATCTCATCATGGTATATGATAACCTGTGCTTTTTTTATAAATTTCAAGTACTGTGCACAAATATATGTGTATAAATATACTGAATATAAGCGTACAGTTTATGTTGCAACTAATTAATTTTGAATAATTTTATGATTTTAATGACTTTTTATAAGGAAGATTATTAATTATATTTGTGAAAATGTCGTGTTTTTTATTGTACAGTAAACATAACATCATCGTAATTGAATTCGTAAAAAATTAGATTTGACACATACGACATAGATTTGCCTCGAAAATGTGTGTTTTTACGTGTCGGCAGGTCGACACCGGCTCGCATATGTAATGTACAAATACTTCAATGTTCTGGAATGGGCAGGGAGTTGAGAAGGGTAGTTCGAGGGAGAGAATTTACTCATGCATGCGTCTATTTCGTGAAGGGTCATGTGGGGTTGCTGAACAGAATATAATCAGCGACACATATGGCGCGCAAACGAATGTAGGTAGTGCGTATTGATGTATGAACCAACGTACCTAACATATGTCGCAGCAGGTTGGCCGGATACCGAGACATTGTTGGTTAATTTATTTGTATTAAATATTTCAAAGATTTTTTTAAGCCTTTAACAAAGAAGAATAGAGATTAAAACATTTTATATAATCGTTAGAAAGATTGTGCAATAAGTAGAAAATTACCAAATTGATTACCGAATCAGTTAGATGTTAACAATTAATCAGTTAATGAACATCGTGTGAAAAAAAGATTATAATGTTTAATTATTAGTTTATTTGGTAAATATTTTGATGAGTAGGTAATAAAAATAAATAATTTATAAGAAATATATGAAAAGAGGAATTGATTAGTGTATAAAGAAGCTACATAATCATATCGATATTAAATACTTGAATAAACGGTGTGCGTTATTAAGATAGCGCCAATTATAATTATCGAGAAGAGGATATGTACTTATCATACCATAATTGAACTGCTCTTTGCATCCAAGCACGCGCGTTAATGGACGGCCAACTTTAAACAAAGATGCATAAAAATTTTTGACAACGTACTTATCAGAATTTATCTTTCCAACTCATCCTTCCTGAATCCCATCTCAAAGAAGAAGAAGAAAGAAAAAAAAAACGCGCGACTGTAGCGAGTTTCGTTGCGATGAATTAATTCGTAAGATAAAATGCCACCCGCATGTATATATACGTTTACATCAAGATATCAATAAATAAATAAACATATCTTAAGTTTATAAAAAAAATATTTTGTTTTTAGCGACATGATATATTGTCACGTAATGTTATGAAATTAATTTTTAAGATAGAAAGACGCGGTATATACATAATTAATGC